ATTTGTTATTCGATTACTTAGCCTTACGAAAGAGCAACGGAGCTAATACGCAAGAGTCTTTATGAGCAATGATAAAAAGGCAACAAAGAGTAATTAAGTTATGAAAGCATAATTATACGTAAAAAGAAAGTCGAGTTTGGATTTGATTTTTAATTTTTTCTTTATTTAAGTTTGGTTTTCTTTGTTTTCTTTTTTTTTACATTCCTTTTATTTCCTTCTTTGTATTAAAGAGCCTTACGTTATCACACTTATATGCCCCCGATCTATTATATATAAGCATATTATATACATAAAGCGGACTCGACTCGAAGGCTAATTAAAAAGAGCATACGAAAAATCTATTGCATTAACTACTTAGCAAGCTGCCGACACGCGATAAAAACCCTTTCGACCTTACAACTCAAGGCTAAGTGGAATAGTGCGAAAGCTTTCCGCAGCACCTTAAGCACTGCTTTTACTTTTCGAAGTTTTATCGATGTTGTTACGACTCGAACCTTTCGTAAAACCACGAGTATTGCTACGGCTAGAACCTCGCGAAAAAGAACTATCGGTATTGCCGCGATTGAAAGCTTAACGAGCACTTCGGCAAAGCTTCTTTGCTTAAAAAGGTATTAGCGATTCCGAAGATAAAGATAAAGAAGACGAAGACTTTTCAGCAATCTATCGTAATTAGATCGGAAAAGAATTACAAAAGGTTCGCAACATATACTTACGCGGCTAAAAAAGTTACTTAACAAAGTATTGTTTCGATCTATTACAGCTAAGATCTAACGCAATAAGTTTAGCGAAGCTAGATCGGCGGTAGCAGCAGCGGCAAGTAAGCGTAACGCCGGGACGAGACTTAAGCTAGCTAAAAGACTTTTAGCATTAACGGCGGTAAAAGAAGCAGCGGCGATACGAGCCCGAAGAAAAGAAGAAGCATCGCTAACACAAAAGGCAAGAGCACGACGGGTCTTTATAAAAAGGTTATTTGCAACCGTGCTTTTACGAAAAACGTCGTCGGTCGTTTTAGTTCTATTATTTATAGCCGTTATCGCATCCATTAAGACTATGCCGGCATTAACGACTTTTGCGAAGAGCTATCGAATCGGAGTTAAAACGAGTGTAAGACGAAAAGTAAGATAACTTACGAAGATGCAAGTTGACTTGATAGCATAACAACGCTTGCATTTAATAGATTTGTTAACGGAGAAGATGCACCGACTCGCAGCATTATCGATAGTTTTGCTTGCGTAGCTTACGCACCGAAAGCAGATCGATAACATAATAGTAAAGATAAAGTTAATAAGTAGTAATGCTAAAAAGAAAATAAAAAAGTATAAAGTTAATATAAGAAAAAGGTTGACTGTTTATAACAAGACTTCGAGTGTATACTGCCGCTTTTATTTTCTTTATTACGTTACCGCTTTAAGCCTCGCGCTATTACCGATTCGGCAGTGCGTTATTACCTGACCGCTTAAACTAGCGCACGCTTGTCTTAACAATAATACTAACGCTCGAGTTGATATTATTTTTTATAATTGAATAAAAGTGCTATAAAAGATATAAAAAAGAGTTAGACCCGAAGGATTATCTTGCATTTTCGTTGCTATTCTTATCTTCTTTATTATATTATATACGCTCCGTATTAACACCGATCCGGCGATGCATTATTAAGTAGTACTTTAAAACTATATTGCGACCGTGCTATTCGGCCACATGCTCGTTTTGCAAACCTAATTCTACCACTTTAATAAAAGGTGACTCGAAGGCGAGTCTGATTCGAAGGAAGGACGTATGTGGTAAAGTTAAGGCTTTGTATTTGTTTTGTCTATATATATAGTACTGATGCTAGGCACCTTTGTCACGTGGGTGCGCTGCATGCTCTAGCCCTGTTAAGTCACGTAGTTAGGTCACGTGCAAGCTCCTATATAAACGAGTAGTTGGTTCTTCCTTGAACCACTATCATATCACTACACAATACAATACACGTACTCACAGCACACATTCGAGTGTCCTTCGATCGTCCTTCTTTTCCCCCCTTATTCACCTACGATTCTACTATAGCTATATTCATATATATCTCTTGATTTAACGTTAGGTATATGTCGGAGCTCTTCCCCTCCACAATACTTAACGTTAAATCAAGAGATATATATAAATATAGCTATAATAGAATCGTAAATGAATAAAAAAAAAGAAGGAAGACGATCGAAAGACACTCGAATGTATATTATAAGTACGTGTATTGTATTATGTAATGATATAATATTGGTTTAAGGAAGAACCAATTACTCGTTTATATAAGAGCTTGCACGTGACTTAACTACGTGACTTAACCACGTGCTTAGCAAGGCCAAGGCATGCAGCGCACCTACGTAACAAAGGTGCTTAGCATTAGTATTATATACATGGACAAAACAAATACAGAGCCGCAACTCTACCACATTATACGCAAAGCTAAATAATAAGATCACGGCTCGAGCGATAATAAAAGACTTTTTAAATGCGAAGTATAAAAAGCTAAAAGATTACGACTTATAAAGCTTATTCCGGCACGCTTTCTTACGTTAAGATTGAACGAGCTTTACGATAACGGAAGATAATACAAAACGAAGCTTTAAGTTTGCTACTTTTATTAACTTCAAAGAACACTTGCTATCTAAAGGCGTATGATGCCTTTTAAAGCAAAAGGGTTACGCTAATAGAATAGTCAAGCTTTTGAACGACGAGCAATAGCACTAGTAGACTTTTAAAGAAATAAAAGAGCAACAAGCAACACTTTTAAGCTTCGAATCAAAGTAGACCGCCGAAAACCTTACGGAAGACGAAGATAATACGCTTTAACTACTTTTACTACTCTTACGAAGTTTAAAAAGGAAGGAAAAAGAGACTTTAAGCAGAAGGAAAGAAAAGGAAGAGATTCGGAAGTTACGCAAAGAGTTTGCGAAAAAGAAGAAGGATATAAAGCAAAATATAAAGGTGATAGCAAAGCAAATAGCGGAATTACGAACTTATTTAATACAATACTTTAAAGGACTACGAAGGAGTACGCTAAAAAGGCAAGCTACGCAATCAGCGTACTTAACGGCTTTAGGTTATCAATCGCTACGCAATACGCTAATCTTATAAAAAGAGCTAAAATCACTTCAGCGGCCTTTAAATCCTTTTCTTAAAGGCTATAATCGAATTTTCGAAAAGCTAAGATTGAATAGCAATAAAAACGGTCTTAAGATCATTATCGGACTAGACAACGAACGAAGCTACGAGAATTACACGCTAAAAAAGGACTCGCTAAAACTTAAGAGCATTCCGAGCAAAATCAGCTCTTATTAAAGATAGCGTACAAATTTCCGTGCTTAACTTTAGCAACTTAAAGAAAAGATCTAACACTTTCAAACGTACCGACAAGCTCTTTAAATCTTTTAATAAGCTACGTATCGATAAGAAAGATATTAAAAGTATAAGAATCGCTAAGAGCGCGCTTAAAAGTACGGATATTATTAAGCTAAAGCCTTAGCCGGTGACTCGAATAACTTTAGCGATCTTAACGATAATTAACGAAAAAAGAACGGAAAAGATTAGCAAGAAGATCGAAGACACGAATACAAAAAAAGTAAAAACGGCTTTTTTAAACTACTAAAAGGATTCGGAAACGGACTTTTAAAAGACTTCGGATTCGAAAATGAGCCTTTTAAAGACCTTAAAAGAAGACGGACCACCGCTAACTATATTAATAACTTTTTACCGATCAAACCGTTAGCTAAGCATAGCACACTTGCGTATAGCACTCTATATGCTTTTAACGATAATAAAAATGATTTCTTTAAGTTAAAAGCAATAGACTTTCATTTAAGAGCGAAGGAATTAGCTTTATTCGCGCGAAGCTTTTTTAAAAAGCTAAAGTATTCGAAGCTTAACGATGACTTTAAGACTTAATTAAAGATTTTTATTAACTAAGCAAGTCGATACGGTTTAACTTTAAACGACTACTTAACGGCGTTTTTTATTATGCTTACGAAAGAAGCTATTACCTTTTATTACAATTACGTAATTAAAGCTCGGCTTCTTACGTTTAAAGCGAACGCTATTACAATAAAAGACCACTTCGAGACTGACTATCGGCGGCAAGCAAAATACGACCGCTAAAAAGAAATTTCGTTAGATTTAATTAAAAAAGAGAATCTAAAGACCTCGCTTAACGAATGCTTTAAGAAGCTCGCTAAAGAGCTTAAGAGTATTTAAAGCTTATTACGACTAAGTTTAAGAGACGATAAAAGTCTTGCCGACAAGCTGTATTTAGCTTATAAAAACGTGTTAAAGACGACTATTGCGCGGATAAACCTTGCTTTTACTTTTACCGCTATAGTTGCCGATATCCGACGAGCAATTGCGTTTATAACTAAGACCTTTTAATTCGCTAAAGCGAGTAGAGCTTACGCGAGCTTTAGCGAGCTACACGATTATTGTGACGAACTGATGAATTCTGACCTTAGAATACAAAGTGAAGAGAGGAAACAGGAAGCTCGGGGAGCTCAGGAAGGTCTATATACATGGCTACAGGCGCTAGGCCTGGATAGGTGATCAGCTGACTGCAGGTAACAAAGCAGGCTGTCACACTACCCCCTTAAAGAGCGGTCCTAGCTTTCTCAAAAGTACTTGACAGAAGAAGGAAAAAAATTCAGTCGTGAACTATGGTTCACGGGTGGAATTGCTGAAAAAAACCAAAAAATACGCCGAAGCTATAAATCGCGATAGTCGTCAAGGTCAGCGTCGTAGCCTCTAGAAGCGTTTCATTCCGCCAAAATTTCCTCCTTTTCGTCCGAGTCAAACTCGCTTAAACCTTTATTTTCCTTGACAGGTCGGTTCGAAAAAGGGTCCCAGAGAACTCGCTTCTTTGTCAAGGGCTTAGCTAGGAAGAGGGTACAGCTAGCTATCCAGTGGTCGATTGCACCGCAACGGGTATAGCGATTTGATTTGCGCCAAGCTTCGCGCTAATCAAAAGTGCTATGAGGAGCATGCTAGAGAGTAGGGTATCGGTCTTTCAACAGCTGAGTTTGGTCAGCCTCGTGAGCGTCGATAAGCTCTATAGCGCCGAGCTCGTTGACGTGCTGCAATTGCTCGAGTTGTTGAGCGCGGTCGATTGCCGAAAGGTCCATTAGGTCGCCGGGAGGAGGGCCCGTTGACGTGCGAGGGCGGTTCTGAAGAAAGGGAGCCGAAGGTCGAGGGAATCCGTAAGACGGGCCGAAAGGACCGGAAGAGCCGGAAGAGCGTTTAAGCTGCTGAGTGACGTGCACGTATTCGGTATACGTGGTCGAGAGAGTCAATTGGCTATTCAGACGGGTCCGTATAGTTGAGTTCAGACTATTGCGGAACGCAATAATCTTATTAGCGTCGGGCTAGGTCTGATAGCGAGCAGCGTGCAAAAGTCGTTCGAAGCGTGAGACGTAGATATAGAGAGCGTCCGTACCTTGCTTGCAAGCAAGCAGCTTATCTTTAGCTTCTTGAATTTTGTTTGGATTGTCGTAAGCGAGAGCGAGCTGATCTAGAAGAGTATTGTAGTTCTAATTGCCGGAGTCTTGAGCTGAAGCTAATTGAGTTAAAACTATTGCTTAGGGACCGGGTTCCATATTAAAGTAAACGTAATAGAACTGCGTAGTGGGTCCGCTAAGAGCCTCACCGTCGACGAGAAGCTTGGCCTTGATTGAGAGGAGCTAGGTATCCTACCGCTGAACCGTACCGTTGAACTTATCGGGATTAAGAAGGACGCATTTGCGCTAGCGAGGGGCCGTCCGTAATTGCTTTACGAGAGACTCCAATTGAGCGATTCTCGTAAAGGAGGAAGGGCCGTCGTCTTCGTGGGAGGACATGGTAGTGGAATGAGAGGGGGCGTTTGAGTGTCGGAAACGCCAGGAAAAAGAGTGAGGAAGAGAGTTCGTCTTGCAACCGAAGTGCAAAAAATTAAGGAAGGGAGCTTTTTTAAGTCGGAAGAGCTGAGGAAAAGGTGAAGTCGTAAAAAAAGACAATAATCTGTAAGCAATAAATGAAGACCGTGGAGCACCTAACAAGTAACTCACTCCGTTCTTGACAATAATCAATAAGCCGTAATCTGTAAGCTGTAACAATAATTAATAACAATAAGCTGTAATACGACGACCTAATCGAAGGACTTTGTATAATGTGACGAACTGATGAATTCTGACCTTAGAATACAAAGTGAAGAGAGGAAACAGGAAGCTCGGGGAGCTCAGGAAGGTCTATATACATGGCTACAAGCGCTAGGCCTGGATGGGTGATCAGCTGACTGCAGGTAACAAGGCAGGCTGTCACAATTATACTTGCTCTTAACACACTTTAAAAGCTGACTCCGATTTAGACGAAGAATACGAATGCTTTATTTAAGACTGCTAATATTTCGGAAGTAAAAAAGCTGTTAAAGCTATTAAGGATAAGAAAAGGTGTTTTGTTTACAAAAAGCTAGGTTGCTAGAGTATTAACTACACCTCCGACGAGCGCAAGGCTTCCGTAGTTAAATTCTAAAGCTTTAAGAACGCAAAAAAAATAACGAAAAGCAAATTCTCTTAATACGTAACGTCGATCGAAAGCTTGCTACTTATATTTATAAAAGAATTCGATCAGTTCATCGCAAGCTTATTAAACGAGCCGCTCGAATCGAGCAGCTACGCTAATATATCGGAAGGTTTTATAACTACTTACAGCACTTTTAACGCTAACGAAGTATATAAATAACTAGAAATTCAAACGGCATTTTACGCTCTTATCAACTAAGTAAAGACTTAAAAGATGCTCGAGCAAGATCCGCGTGTACTCGCGAGCAAAGCAAAGACTTACATAGCTTTTAAGTACTTTGAAAACGTATTTATAAGCCTTATAATTAATAGCAAAGCAATTAATTTCTTTACCGCTAGCTTGCTTTAATTACAAGCACTTTAAAAGAAGTAGTTCGAAGTCTAATTAAATACATCTCGAGCAAAAGAAAAGTCTGTTAAATATAGCATCGGCTTTGCTACTTTTATTAAAGTAGTTACTTTAGAAACACTTTTAAGTTAAGTAAAGTTCTACGTTATAAAAAGCGACGTACCTTTCTTATTTTTATTAGCTAATATAAACAAGCATAAAGTAATTGTCGGTATATCCATATCGACCTTAGCTAGTAGTAGTAGTAATAGTAGTAGTAGTTGGGGAGCTCACCCGTGAACCAGGGTTCACGGGCCACTTAGCATGCTTCGCTTAGCATGTCAGCAGTCAAGGGACCCTAACTTGACAAGTAAACTTATTAGCTAGCTAGTGCACGTGATTCCTTCTAATCATATAGAAGGAATCAGCTCCCTTGAGCCTTAGGGAGCAGACAGAATTTAGATACCTTATTAACCGAGTGTTTTGCAATTGCAAGTACTTTGACGACCGTTACGACCTTACGAATATATATTCTCAATCGCTTAAAAGCAATTCAACACTAATTAGTAGTTGATTTACTATTAAGTGATCAATCATAGAGAAGCTAAGACTCTATAGCGAAGATACTTTTTACTACGATACCTTTCTTTTACAACGGAAGAGCGATTCCGTACCAAGTCGCTTTTTATACTACCGATTTTCTTTATTTTTACGAAAGAATGATTCCGAACCAAGTCACTTTTATACAACTTTCAACGCTATAAAAGCTGCGCTTGTTATATATAGCAACCCAACTAATTTAAATCGACTTACATACAAACAAATAACAATTATAGCCGATCGAGCAATTAGACCTTTAAGTAAAGAGTCTAGCCGACAAAGAGCAGTAGAGTATTATACCCTTCGAGTCTTATTATTACTTACGGAACCTTTAGCTATTCAGCTAAAAGGACTATTATACCTAAGACTCTTAAGCTTTTCGAAAAGACTAAACGATAAGATGTCGAGCATCTCATTTGACTTAAACGAGCTATTATACGCAAGGCTCGATAATAAGATTACGGCTCGAGCAATAGTAAAAGACTTCTTAAATGCGAAGTATAGAAAGCTAAAAGATTACGACTTGTAAAGCTTATTCCGGCACGCTTTCTTACGCTAAGATTAAACGAGCTTTACGATAACGAAAGACAATATAAGACGAGGCTTTAAGTTTGCTATTTTTATTAGCTTTAAAAAACACTTACTATCTAAAAGCGTGTAGTGCTCTTTAAAGCAAAAAGGCTACGCTAATAAGATGATTAAGCTTTTAAACGACGAGCAGTAGTACTAGTAGACTTTCGAAGAAATAAAAGAGCAATAAGCAATACTTTTAAGTCTCGAATCAAAGTAGACCGCCGAAAACCTTACGGACGACGAAGATAATACGCCTCAATTACTTTTACTACCTTCGAGAAGCTTAAAAGAGAAAGAAAAAAAGACTTTAAACAGAAAAGAAAAAAAAGAAGAAATCTAAAAGTTACGAAAAGAGTTTTTAAAAAAGAGAAAAGATATAAAACGAAATATAAAAGCTATAGCAAAGCAAATAGCGGAATTACAGACCTACGTTATACAATCTAACAAAAGGCTACGACGAAGCGCTTTAGCGTACTCGACGTCTTTAATTCATTAATCGCTACGCAATACGCTAATTATATAAGAAAGGCTAAAATCACTTTAGCGATTCTTAAATCCTTTTCTTAAAGGCTACAGCCGGGTTTTCGAAAAGCTAAGACCGAATAGCAATAAAAATGATCTTAAAATCATCATCGGATTAAATAATACTCGAAACTACGAAAGCTATACGCTAAAAAAGAACTTACTAAAACTTAAGAGCATTTTAAGCAAAATCAGCTTTCATTAAAGACAGCGTGCAGATTTCCGTGCCCAACTTCAATAACTCGAAAGAAAAATCTAGCACTTTCGGACGTACCGATAAGCTCTTTAGATCCTTTAATAAGCTACGTATCGATAAAAAAAATACTAAAAGTATAAAAATCGTTAAGAGCGCGCTTAAAAGTACGGATATTATTAAACTAAAGCTTTAGCCGATAACCCGAATAGCCTTAGCGATCTTGACGATGACCGACGAAAAGAAAACGAAAAAGATTAGCAAAGAGATCGAAGCTACGAGTACGGAAAAAGTAGAAATAAGCTTTTTAAATTATTAAAAGGATTCGGAAACGAACCTTTAAAAGACTTCAGATCCGGAAATAAACCTTTTAAAGACTTTAAAAAAAGACGGATCACCGGCAACTATATCGATAACCTTTTATCGATCAGACTATTAGTTAAGCACGGTACGCTTGCATACGATACTTTAAGCGCTTTTAACGATAATAAAAACGATTTCTTCGAATTAAAAGCGATAGATCTTTACTTAAAAGCAAAAGAATTAGCTTTGTTTACAAGAAGCTTTCTTAAAGAACTAAAGTATTCGAGACCCGACGATAACTTTAAGACTTAATTAAGTATTTTCGCTAATTAAGCAAATCGATACGGCTTAATATCCGACGATTATTTAGTAGCGTTTTTAATTATACTTACGAAAAAGGCTATAACCTTTTATTATAATCATATGATTAAAGCTAAGCTTCTTACGTTTAAAGCGAACGCTATTGCAATAAAAGACCACTTCGAGACTAATTACCGGCGGCAAGCAAAATACGACCGTTAAAAAGAAATTTCGCTAGATTTAATCAAGAAAAAGAATTTAAAGACCTCGCTTAACGAGTGCTTTAAAAAGCTCGTTAAAGAGCTTAAAAACATTCAAAGCTTATTACGACCAAGTCTAAGAGACGATAAGAGTCTTGCCGACAAGCTGTATTCGGCTTATAAAAACGTGCTAAAAATTATTATTGCACGAATAAACTTTGCTTTTACTTTTACCGCCGCAATTGCCGATATCCGCCGAGCAATTGCGTTTGCAATTAAGACCTCTCGACCTTTCGTTAAAGCGAGTAAAGCTTACGCGAGCTTTAGCGAGCCACATAATCATACTTGCTTTTATAACACTTTAAAAGCTGACTCCGATTTAAACGAAGAATACGAATACTTTATTTAAGACTGCTAATACTTCGAAAGTAAAAAAGCTGCTAAAGCTATTAAAAGTAAGAAAAAGTGTTTTGTTTATAAAAAGCTAAGTTGCTAAAGCATTAACCACACTTTCGACGAGCGCAAAGCTTTCGTAGCTAAGTTCTAGAGCTTTAAAGACGTAAAAAAAATAACGAAAAGCAAATTCTTTTAATACGTAGCGTCGATCGAAAGCTTGCTACTTGTATTTACGAAAGAATTCGATTAGTTTATCGCAAGCTTATTAAACGAGCCGCTCGAATCGAGCAGCTACGTTAATATATCGAAAGGTTTTATAACTACTTATAGCACTTTTAACGCTAACGAAGTATATAAATAATTAAAGATTCAAACGGCATTCTACGCTTTTATTAATTAAGTAAAGACTTAAAAGATGCTCGAGCAAGATCTGCGTATGCTCGCGAGCAAAGCAAAGACTTACATAGCTTTTAAGTACTTTAAAAACGTGTTTATAAGCTTTATAATTAATAGCGGAGCAGTTAATTTCTTTACCGCTAGCTTGCTTTAGTTACGAGCACTTTAAAAAAGTACTTCGAAGTCTAATTAGATACATCTCGAGCAAAAGAAAAGTCCGTTAAGTATAAGATTAGCTTTGCTATTTTTATTAAAGCAATTACTTTAAAAATACTCTTAAGTCAAGTGGAGTTCTACGTTATAAAAAGCGACGTACTTTTCTTATTCTTATTAGCTAATATAAACAAGCATAAAGTAATTTTAAATAACTTGCGGAACGTGTTAATCTAAAAGAAAAAAGAAATACTAATAGTAAAAATGTTTAAGCACGTATAGATATTATTAAGTAAAGAGCACGCTGCTGCTTATT